CTGGGCTGAAGGGAAGTCCCCTCCCTCTGTCCCTTCCCCACTGGGAGGGGCACCCCGCCCCCCCAGGGCCCCCTTCGTCGTCGTCGTCGTCGTCGTCATTTGGGGTCAGCGGCACCAGCCGCGATACCTTCAGAATCAAATCCTCGGAACTCTGCTGAGCAGGGGACCGACCGTCCCAGCATTCCTATAGTCCTACCACGAAGCGTTCGAACCCAGAAATGTTCTAAGAACAAAAACCATGTTCTTAGAACATGAGCCAGACGTGATACAACAAGACAGCCCCAGCCAGAAAGGCTCTAAGAACATTTCGTGGGAACCACAAAAAGGTTCTTAGAACCTTGTTTGGTAGGGCCATAGTAGAGGCCTCCTAGATGGGGTCCGAGTAGGTGGGGTCGTGGGATCGCGCCGCATCGCCAGTGCATCGCCGATGCATCGGCAATGCATCGGCGATGCATCGGCGACGCCGGCGTGGGGAAGCACAGCCTCCCCATCGAGCCGCATCGCCCATGCATCGCCGGTGCACCGCCGATGCATCGGCGATGCGCGGTGCGAGCCTCCGACCCCATCTCCTCCGACCCCCTCTGGGAGGCCGAGACGTAGGCGAGCCAGGACGCTTCGCCGCTGCTCGACTCCGCGAGGAGGGCGAGCCGGCCGTGGCACAGCGGCCGCGGCAGCGGCAGAGGCGGCGGCCGCTCGCGGGCGCTCCTCGCGGGCCGCCGCGGGCGGCGGCCCCGCGCTGGGCGCCTCCGACGGCGCCGCGGGGCTGCGGGCGGAGGCGGCGCGGAGGCCGGCGGAGCGGCCCTGGCGGCCGTGGGAAGGGGGCAAACAAACCTACGGCAGGTTCGTGTCGTGCCGACCCCGGCGTTGGTCTCTGACATCGCGTAGATCGTTCAACCTTGAACGATCGGCGGCTTGTCGATAGCCAGATCATTCCATGTAGGCCGATTCTAGGCCACTAGCGGCGTTCAACCTTGAACGCCCGCGGCGGGGTCGCCGCCGGTCGACACGACGTGAACCTACCGTACCTCGCGTTTGACCACCCTCGCTTCCAAGAGATACCAGGCGATGCCAAACCACGGCCTGCACTGGTCAGGCCGCTCGACGAGGAGGCGCGTGGTGGTGTGACTCGGTTTTGCCTGGAAGCGAGAGCGGGGTAGGTATAATTCACGCTCTGAGTGGGGCGGCACGGGGGCGGAGATCGGCGACGAAGCTCACGATGCTCCAAGCTACTTTTTAGCCCCGCTCACCAGAAAGGACGTCGAGCGCCAGGAAAAAAACACACGAAACTCAAGGGTGTTCACGCGTCGGGCCCTGGGAGACACTCGCCCGACACTGCTGCGACACTGTTTCGACACTCTTTTGACACCTTTCTGGGTGCTCGAAATTATTTCTGGGATGTGGTCCAACATAAGACGAAGTGATGTTGTGTTGGCGCTATGTTACCAGGACGAGAAGGACGTCACTCGGGCTGGTGTGTGCGCGTATGCGTGTTCTTGTGGGCGCCTCGAAGTGGACCCACTTGCGGCCCAGAGAGCGCCACTGACGCGCCCCCAAATTCAGGAGGAGGTGCGGACAATGATGCGTTCATGGATTTCCATGGATTGCTGGGACTTCCTCATGTCTCACACGGGCTCCAGAAACGAGAGCCGCTAGACACGCCGACGCGCAAAAAACTGAGCTCGAAACTTCCCGCGCGTCCAAGGATTCTGCGGCCGAGTTTAGGGCCTTTGTCAAGCCTACTCATCCGCCTTCTTGTTGCCCACCTCCCAAACGCACATCCGTTCCTCAAATCCTAACCTACGGGCCTGGCCCAGCCGCCATCTCCGGGTCCTGATCGGGGCCCCTCTCCCAACTGTCCTGGGCGGCTTGGCAGTCCGCCGCGGCACCCATCGCGTCTGGACCCGCCGCAGCCGCGGCGCCGGCGCGGGCGGTCGCCTTGACGACAAACACAACCCGGCGCCGCACCGTGGGCGGCTCAGCAGCGGTCTGCACGGCAGGCCCCATCCACGCTCGGACCAGAATCGGCAGAAGACGAAACTAAGCCAACGGGTCTGTCGCGCCTGGCCCGCCGGCGCGCGGGCGCAACCAGAGCGCGCCTGCACCGCGGCCAGTGCACGCAGGGCTCGGCCAACGCAATCCAGCCCTGGAAAGCGGACAGATCGGCAGCTGGCGGAGGCGCGGACGCGGCGACGTCAAACCACCGCGCCTCATTCACTGATATTGTCTGGGGAAACCAGGGAGGAAGCCGGGTCCGATCGCGCCGCATCATCCGCCCCGTCTCGTCCCGCTCGGCAGCGGCCCCCCTGGGGCGCGACCGCACTCGCCGGGGCGCCATGGCTTACACTCAGAAGCAGTCCAAACCAAACCCCGAGGAAAACATGACGCAACGATGTCGCCTTCATTGGCTGAGCCGCGCTCAAACACGCTCCAAGACTGGAAGCGATGCCAAGGAATTCTGAAAACGCATTGGAAATCAGGAGACCCCTGCCAGAACAAACTAAAAGCTGCCAAGACTTTCATCAGGCAATCCGATCAAGAACTGAGAAGACCTTCAGAACTGCCCTTGGCGACAGGCTGCCCATCTGACTTCATTGTATGCATTCCTTCCAGAGACCGATTTAAGAATTACTCACTTGCTCTGTGAGCGGTAGCTCTCTGTGACCCTCGACGCATGCACTGGTGCGATCCTCTCTGTGATCCTCTGTGCAGCCCTCCACGTGATCCTCTCCGTGATCTCTGCCACTCCAATCCTTCTGAGCCCGATCGGCCTGTGAGTGTTCCAAGGGCGCCTGACGTCCCGCTTCGCGCAGCGCGATCAACTTCGCGCCAGCGCGCCGCCCCCCAGGGCAGAGAAAGAGCATGAGGAATCAGGGCCGAACCGCGAAGCGCGGATCACCTCGCGCCCTCGAGGGGCGCCCTTGTGATTCGGGGGCGCCGCAGTCCTGCGCGAAGACTCCTGGTGTTTGGGCGTGGCTTAATGGGGGGGTCGTAGATGGGGGGGTCAAAGACGGTCTCCTTTCGTGCCCCTCTCGGGCCCCTCCAGGAGTCCAGAACGCGCTCCACGCCGGGAGGGGGACACTCCCGCGATTTGTTGCTTCGAAGGAACTGCCATGCCCAACTTCCTCTGAGCAGGGACCGACCGTCCCAGCATTCCTATAGTCCTACCACGAAATGTTCTTAGAACCCAAAAACGATCTAATGAACAAAACAAGGTTCTTAGAACAGAAACCCGATGTGCTAAAACAAGATTGCCCCAGTGCGACCCTACCTAGAAGTTGGAGCCCCTGGGAAAGCAGCATTAGTTGCTATGCTATGCTATGCTATGCTATACTATACCATGATATGCTGCGCTATGCTATGCGATGATATGCTATGCTATGATATGCTGCGCTATGCTATGATATGCTATGCTATGCTATGCTGCGCTGTGTTATGTTAAGCTATGCTATGCTATGCTATGCTAAGCTGCGCTATGCTATGCTATGCTATGATATGCTATGTTATGCTATGCTGCGCTATGCTATGTTATGCTATGATTGGCTATGTTATGCTATGCTATGCTAATGCAGCGCTGCGCTATGCGAAGCTAAGCTAAGCTAAGCTAACCCTCTAGGCAGAGCCTAGGTAGGGAATTACACCAATGCTAGTCCTGCTTGCGGGGGCTCCGGTCCAGCCATCGAGGCTAGCTCGGCATCTGTCGCACATTGCTTTTGCATTGCCTTTCCTTTGCTTTGCTTTTGCTTTTGCTTTGCTGTGCGTTGCGTTGCTTGCGCTTTGCTTTGCTGTCGCTGCTGTTGCTTTGCCTTTGCTTTGCTGCTATGCTATGCTATGCTCTGCTATGCTATGCTATGCTATGCTGCGCTGTACTATGCTGTGCTGTGCTGTGCTGCGCTATGCTATGCTACACTGCGCTATGCTATGCTATGCTGGGCTATGCTATGATATGCTATGCTGCGATATGCTATGCTACGCTATGCTATGCTGTGCTCTGCTATGTTAAAGCTCAGCGAAGCTAAGATGAAGGTAAGCTAAGCTAAGATAGTGCAGCGCTGCGCTATGCTAAGTTAAGCTAAGCTAACCCTCTAAGCATAGCCTAGGTAGGGAATTACACCCATGCTATGATATGCGATGCTGCGCTATGCTATGCTGCGCTACGCTATGCTATGCTGTGCTCTGCTATGCTAAAGCTCAGCGAAGCTGATATGAAGGTAAGCTAGCTAAGATAAACCTGAGCTAAGATGAAGCTAAGCCAAGCTAATATGAAATAAGCTAAGCTAAGATGAGATAAGCAACGCTAAGCTAAGGGGACGTAACTGGGGGAACCGCGGGCCGGATACTGGGGGAACCGCCCGGGGCGTTGAACACTGCCCGGCCCTTTAAGCATACCGAGTAAGAACCCTTCTAGGCAGAGCCTAGGTAGGGAACAGTCCCAACCAGGAAGGTTCTAAGAAAATGTTGTGGGAACCGCAAGAAAAGTTCTTGGAACACTGCCTGGTAGGACTATAGGCACGCCAAGACGCTTTCGAAGATCTTCTGACCCGGGTCATTCCAGACCCCGGTCAGCAGGAAGCCAAAAACTGAAATGCTGGGAAAAAACTGCAACGCAGGTCTTCGCAAACCCGGGTCAGCCAATAGGCGCGGCCGCCTCGCGGCCACGAGCGGCTCGCTGACCCGGGTCAGCCAGAGGGGGTCTTCGCAGTCTCCTGCAGGATCCGGCGCCCTGGCTGACCCCCCGTCTGGTTTACGAGGCGCTGTGCGCTGAAACTCCTGTGCGCTGACAGGCAAACCCTGCGCGATGTGCCGCGTCCTGGCGGCTCTGGGCTTTGGGGGCTCCCAGGAGGCTTACGGACCACGCACTTGCAACCCAGGGTAGGGTCGTTTTTTTCACCCCTCAGTCTGCACGGACCCCCGTCTCGAGGCCCACGACGCTTCGCCACTGCTTGACCTCCCGGCCCGCTCCCAGCGGCCTTCGGGCTGCTGCACGCCCGCTCGCGCTCGGCCGCGGAGGCGCCGACCAGCGCGCGGGAGGCCGCGACGGTGGCCAGGTCCTCGCGCCGCGGCCCCCGCGCGCGTCTCGCGGGGGCGGCAGTGGATGACTACCTACCAAACCACCCCAACCCAACCCGAAGACCCGAATTTCGGGTTGGGGGGGGGGTACGGGCTTCATGTGTGTTTTCTCAACGTTCCCCGACCCCCCCCAACTGGAAATGGAGGGCAAATTGGGGCCTTCGGGTTGGGTTGGGGTGGTTTGGTGGGCGGTGAGTGGAGCGACGACCAAAAGCTTGTCTTACGCGAGGTGACATAGCGTTGTGGATGCCATGACAATGGGCACTCCACTAATCCTACCACTGAACTGCTTAGCACGTGTAAAAACATGTTCTAAACGTGTTTCAAACATGCTTCTACATATCTAAAACGTGTTCGAAACATGTCCTAGACACCTGGAAATAATTTGGCAGCATGCTTCCTCTCCATTACATCGGCTTCCACACACGTAGCGACATCACGCGGCGGCTTGCGCGGGCCGCCGGCGCGGCACGCCACATTCGAAGCGCGGGCGCTTCCGCGCGACCTTACGCGGGCAGCTCACGCGCCGATGCCGGCGCAGACGACCCCCTTTGTTTTCCGTCACTCAATGGGCTCCGTACCCACAGGCTCGCGGGTCGGGCCCCGGGGCCGCGTCGTTCCGCGGAGGCGGGGCGGTTTCTCGCCGAGGTGGCCCGCGCGGAACGGAGTCCAAACCGCTGGGGCGCGGATGTGGTCACCTTCGCCGCTCGTGGGCCTTCTGTTGCATCCTCGGGGGGTCCTCGTCTGTCCCCGTGGCGGCCCTCTCCGCGTCGAATCCGCGCCGAATCCATGTCGGCCTCGTCGGATCCGTGTCGAGTCCGTGCCGAATCCGCGTCGAGCCCACGCCAGACCCGCGTCGAGTCCGCATCGAGCCCGCGCCTGGCACTGGACAGGACACCACTTTTCGAGACAGACGAAGTCCCCCGAAGATGCAACGTGATGAGCCCCCTCGTGAGCGTCGGGCGCCGTCCGGCCGCGCCGTCTGCCCTCCCCAGGCCCCCTCGCGGTGTGAGAACGAAGCCTGGGGTTCGCTGCTGCTGTGCAGCCTCTCCGTGCCGCTGCGCCTCGCCGAGAGCGCTGTGGCCAGACGGCCAAGGCGCAACCTTGTGCGCAAGATTCGTCTTGCCGATTCTCGGCCACTTGAAACCCCCCTCGCGTCGTCAATAAGAAACCGCGGACACAGATCTCAGACACTGTTTGTTCGATCCGGTCGATCTTCCTCGAATTGGGCCCCCCCTCGCGTTGTGAAAAAGAGACCACGGACGCAGATCTCAGACAATGTCTTTTCAACCCGGTCGCTCTTCCTCGAGTGGGGCCTTCCCAGGGCCCGCTATCGAGCCCCAGGATAATTCCTAATCATTTTCGGGCGAAAAAGTAGCCCTGGGGGAGGTCGGGACCTCTCATTGAAAAAACAGATCGTCAGACGTCTGGGGAGGATGCGCGCGTAAAGTCTCCGCCCCCGGTGGCCTCCACGGGGCCGTAGAGCCGGAACAGAAGCGGCTCAAGAGGAGAAGCCGGCCCTGAGGGGGGAAGACCTGCGGCGGCAGTGGGAAAGCTGCGGCGGGAAGGGGCACGGGTGGCAAGGGGAGTGTTACTTTGGGAGGCCACTCGCGAAGCCTACCCCTACCCCCACAATTTCTGAGGGGGAGGGTGGGGGTTCACTTCGCTCGGGAACTCCCGCACGAGGTGAGCCCCACCCGCCCCCTCAGAAATCTTGGGGGGTAGGGGTGGGGTTCGCATGTGGCCCCCTAGTTGTGTTGTCCCCATCCTACTTGAGGACCGCATCCCAGAAATAGGTTCGAGCACTCGGAAACGTGTCAAAAGAGTGTCGGAGCAGTGTCGGGTGAATGTCTCCCAGGACCCGACACGTGAAAACCCTTGAGTTTCGGTACTTTTTTTCGGCGCTCGAAATTCTTTGTGGTGATCAAGGCTAAAGTAGGTTGGAGCATCATAAGAGGAGTGGCGAGGAGACCACCTCTTCCTCCTCATCGCCGTCGCGCTCCGGGCACGGTGATGTTGGCAAATGGCCGTTGCTTTTGTCATGACGAAGATCGTTGGAATATCCGACGAAGGACACGTGTCTCTTGCGTGGTGGCGAACATCAATACGTTTACTACAGGTGGTGGCGACCGCGCCGTTCTCGTGCATCAGACTTTGACACGGTCCGTTGGACATGCAATTGCTTGGATGTACCGACGCCGTGTTTTCCCACTCCTAAGCAGAAACGGCAAGAAACATGAATGGCCATGGCAATTCTACGAAAAACACTGTGATCCGTGTGCAGTTCAAACCACAACGCGCAGAAGGTTATATGAAGGTTGTATAAAGACGCTCGCGACTAGAACCGCTCGTGGCGCAAAGGGTACACGTGCATCCTAAACCTCGCCTGGCACTGTTGGTGAACCAAGGCGCGCCATAGACCTTGCAATTCCTCGGGGAGCCACGAACAGACGCCACGAGCGTGAGACATGCAACCTACCTATCTTTCTCCGCCCTTTTCATCATCCTCGGTGTAACCGCTTCAATTATCGTCGCCTTTGGACCGCTTTCCTCCTGCATGTTTGTCGCCACATGCTTGTCATATACTTAGGTCGGGCATGTCCCCCTACAGGCGGACTTTGGACGACAAATCATGAATACCCCACAAATATTCCAAAATAGTAGAAAATAATCAAAACATCGTCCCTAGACTATTTTTTGACCATCATTGAGTTTTCCTCCTGTGGAGGGACATGCCCGACTGGATCATACACGCGTCGTGCAGCCAGTGCCCTCGTGAACCTGAGGCATGGTCCTCGGGAAGACATTCCGTACTCGGGTCTGGGCCGCTTGCCAGCTCACAGGCGAGCCGCCGACCCTTCGGCGCGTGTGAGACGCTGGCGTCGTCTTCGTCGCCGTCGCCGCCAGTCCCGAGCGAATTGAGGAACGAACGTGGAAAAGAAACGTCGTAATTAGTTCGGTTCCCTTCAGTTTCCCTTCCCTGACCAAGGGGGGGGGGCTAGGGGAGGAGGGGGGGCAGGGGGGGGTGCGGGGGGGGGGGGGGGGGGGGGGCCAGATTTCCACCCCCAGGGGGGTCCCGGGAGGTGGTCCCAACTGTGGACGTGGGGGGACATGCCCTGAGCTTCCAGAGCGCTAAAAAAGAGCACTCCAGACCTATGTAGATCCATCTGGACTGCCTCACACCTCGACAGGAATTGGGACGTCGACGTCCTGGTGCGATGCTTTGGCCCTCCTGGAATGTCAGGGTGGGATGGGGGGGGCTCCCCCGTGGGAGGGGCCAGCCCTGCTGCCCGCCCCGGCTCCGGCCCCGGCTCCGGCCCCGGCCCCGACCCCGCATTATGGCCGCGGCGTGCGGCCCCGCGGCCCAGGGCCCCCGGGGTCCCCAGGAGATGAAGGGGCCCCGCAGGACACACAAAGAAATACACACGAATAGAAATATTCCCCATCTTCTCCCATATCCTATGGGTTTCTGTCTTCCCCCCACTTCCCATATTTGCCCATATCTTCTGGGGAATCGATGCTTATAATTGTGTCTGTGTGTTTCTTTTCCTCCTGAGGAGAGGGGCCCCAGAGACCCAGGGCAGGTCCCGTCTGCAGGGGCGGCGGCAACCGGCCGCCGGGCCTTCGTGAGGTGCGCCCGCGCACGAGGCCTGCGCCCGCGCATCGTGGGCATGATCAGGCATGCTCGCGGCGATGCAGTGATGGCACCGCGCCGCATGCTGGGCAGGCCTTGCATCACGCATGTCCAGCAGACGCCCGCCCTGGCAGGCGAACCTGCCTTGCCCAGGAGGGGATGATGCGCTCCAGGAGGGGATGATGCGCTCCAGGAGGGGATGGGGCGCACGAGGACATAATTACTAGTACTAGATGTCCTCCTTGGAGGCGTGCGCACGACCCGAACATATAGTATGACCATCTTGTTGTGTGTCGTCCCCGAGCAGTATGACCAGAAAGCGCCCGCCACTGCGCATATACTAGTGTTAAGACTTCTCGGCGGGCGCGTCGCCCGTGGGAGTGTGATGCACGCATCGTGTTGGTAGGCGGCGGGCCCAGGGGGGAAATGAAAGGGGGCGGCCTTCAGAGAGCTCGGAAATCCCACGACCTTGGGAGAAGATGTGTAGGCCTTCTCCGAACACACACACACACACAAACCTCTCGGAAGGCCCGGGGGCTTCTGAGAAGTCCCGCTGCCTTCTGAGAAGGCCTTCTCCTTCGCATTCCCCCCCTCGCTCGCCGCCGAGTCGCTGTGTTGGCCCGCCGCCGATGCGTGCCACCCTGCAGACCTGCCCCTGTGGCACCCGGCGCGGTGGAGGGGACTGCGCCGCCAGAGGGACAGCCCTCGCATGATGGGCCTGTGTCCCATCACTACCACCACCATAAGTTGGAGGGGGGAAGGAGGAGGAAGAGGAGGAGGAGGAGGCGGAAGAAGAAGAAGAAGAAGAGGGGGAGGAGGACCCCCTCCCCCCTCCAGCTCGTGGCGGTGGTGCAAAACAGGCTCGGCCCTCGCGGAGCTCGGGACGCCCCCGCCGCGGCGCTGTGCCAGGCCCAGGGGGCCATCGCCCTCCCGCCTCCTCCGCCGCGTGCTCGGCGCCCCTCGCTCTCTCTCGCTCTCCCCCTCTGCCCCTCGCGTCCCTCGTCCTCGTCCCCCTCCCTGGCGCTCCGCCGGCGAGCGGCCCCGCCACCACCAGCGTTGCGTCTCTTTCCTCCTCTCCCCAGCCTCCTTCCTCTTCTTACTGCTCGTACGATTACCATTATTCCTCCCCCTCCTCCTCCTACTTCTCCTCCTCCTCCTCCATTCCCTTCCCTCAAGAATAATGTCACTCCGTCGCACCCAGCGGCCAACAGTCTTCACGGCGGTCCGGGCGCTTCGCCTGAGACCGCCTCACCATTCATGACCCTGAAACTTAGAGAACATCGGCAACAATTTCACGAAAGGAAGGCGCGTGGTTTTCAAAATGTGGCTCTCGCCTTAGCGCCGCGCACATTCGATTTCAAAAATTGCAAAGAGCTTCGCGGATTGAGGACAGGTTGTTTTCAACATGTGGCTCTCGCCTTGGCGCCGCGCACATTCTTTCTAACAGTTTACAAGAGCTTCAAGGATTGAGGCCGGTTCCTCTTCAAAATGTGGTTCTCGCCTTAGCGCCGCGTGCATTCGTATTAAACAATTGCAAGAGTTTCACGGGCTCCCCTCATGAGCGTACCACACATGGTGTTTCGAAAGGATTCAGGGTTATGAGGGCGCAACTGTTACGTTGATTCGCGGTGTTGATGTCCCGAGAATGGCGTTCTGGTACGATTCAAGATCGTCAAGACGCAACAGTCAGGTTGATCCGTGGCGTGAGAAACCCTGAGAACGACGTTTTGGCATGCATCAGGGTCTTCAAACGGTTATCTTCAAACGAAGAAGTTCCCTCAGTGGAACTGAACCCTTGTAGGGGCCTATGAAGAGGGAGCTTGGAGGGAGGGTTTATTCCAACATCGTTGATGACTCTTGGGTTTACACTGGTCCTCCTCTTCCTCCTCTTCCTCGTTCTCCTCGTCCCTGCTCTCTCTCCATCTCCCTCTGCAAGCTCCCATTCCCCTTCCTCACCGGCAACGCCCCTGCTTGCGAGCGCTGCTCCTGCCGCGCTCCGCCGGGATGCAGGGGGCGCTAGGGTGGTAGGAAGAGCAGCAGCAGAGCGAGGTGCATGGGAAGCGGGTGCAGGAGGAAAGGGGAAAGGGGGCAAGAGCAATCGGGCCACCGAATGTCATGTTGCTCACATCGTAACAATTTCGAGCACCCGGAAAAGTGTCGACAGAGTGTCGACAGAGTGTCGAAATAGTGTCGGCCGAGCGTCTCCCAGGGCCCGACACGTGAAAACCCTCGAGTTTCGGTACTTTTTTTTTGTTCTGGTGCTCGAAATTATTTCTGGTGATCAAGGCTAAAGCAGGTTGGAACATCATAAACCGAGTGCAGGATCACTTGGGACAAGCCTGAGGAGCTGTGGAGCTGGAAGACGATACCGAGGAGAGGCAGGCGGAGGAGGAAGGACGAGGCGAGAGCAAGACGGAGTGAAGCAGGGGAAGCAGGTCGAGGAGTGGGGAGGGGAAGCAGGGAGGGAGAAGGAGGTGGGCCGAGAGCAGGAGGAGCGGAACCAGACATCCGACGCCTTGATTGTTTCCGCACGCGGGCATCGAAAGTCCTGGCGGTGCGCACAAGGGGGTATGGGGGAGGAGGGAAGGCTTCCTAGAAGGAGGCTGCATCTTAAAGATGCTGGCCTTACGCCCATAGATAAGACCAGCGCCTTCTGAAAAGCAGGGTGCTTCTAAGAAACCTTCCCCCTTTCCCCTACCCCCCTCTGCGCGTGGCCAGAAGTCTCCATCCTGTCCCCAGGGCCGGCTTCTCATCCCGAGTCGTTTCTTGAGAGCCCCAGGGCGCGGTGAGGGTCCCCGGAGGTCGGGCCGAACTGTGAGAAACCTGCGCCCTGATATTACCAAGACGATGGATCTCTGGGAGGAAGAGGGGGAAGCAGCACAAATCGTTCTGGTGGCTATGGGAGGTACAGATGGAGGGTGAAGAGAAGGACCCTAAAGGGCCCCTTTAGGGCCCTCTTCTTCGACCCCCATCAAAGTTCCCCCCCATTACCACCCGCCCGACAAAAATCGGTTCCCAAACAAATCCTTGGGTAATTCGTTCTCCGAGCTGCGTCCAGCCGTAGCGGTGACGAGGCCCCCCCCCCCCAGAGGCCAAATACCGCTGTCTGAACGCGTCCTCCTCTGAGAGGGGGGGGGGAGGCAGGTGGGCCAGGGAGGGAGGAGGGAGGAGGAGGAGGAGGAGGAGGAGGAGGAGGAAGAGGAGGACGAGGCGGAGGGGAGGAGGAGATGAGGAGGAGGAGGAGGGAGGAGGAGGAGGAGGAAGAGGGAGGACGAGGAGGAGGAGGAGGAGGAGGAGGAGGAGGAGGAGGAGGGGGAGGAGGAGGAGGAGGAGTAGAGAAGAAGGAGGAGGAGGAGGAGGAGCAGAAAGACGAGATGTTGGAGGAGACGGATGACGGGCATGCTGGCCATGAGGAGGAGGAGGAGGAGGAGGAGGAGGAGGAGGAGGAGGAAGGCGGAGGAGGAGGCGGAGGAGGAGGAGGAGGAGGAGGTCAAGCGCAACGTTTGGAGGGATAGCCTCAGGGGGATGCGTCGACCCCCTACCGCCCATGCACCGCCGACAAAAGTCGGTTCCCAAACAAATGCTTGGGTAATTCGTTCTCCGAGCTGCGTCCAGCCGTAGCGACGAGGCCCCCCCCCCCCCCCCAGAGGCCAAATACCGCTGTCTGAACGCGTCCTCCTCTGAGAGGGGGGGGGAGGCAGGTGGGCCAGGGAGGGAGGAGGCGGAGGAGGAGGAGGAGGAGGAGGAAGAAGAGGAGGACGAGGCGGAGGCGGAGGAGGATGAGGAGGAGGAGGCGGAGGAGGAGGCCGAGGAGGAGGAGGAGGAAGAGGAGGACGAGGAGGAGGACGAGGAGGAGGAGGAGGAGGAGGAGGAGGAGGGGGAGCAGGTGGGAGAGCAGGGGGGGGGGCGGGGCGAGAGCAGGCGGGGAGAGGCAGGGGAGGCGCAAGCGGAGGAGCCGGAGCGATGCGGGGTGGGGTCCGCGCACGCGAGGTCGCGGCCGTCGCCACCGGCGGCGGCGCCCGTGGGCAGCAGCCCCGTCGGACCCCTGCTGGACGTCGCGGCCGCGCCGCTGCGCATCGGCTGCCAGACCTGCGGCCCGAGGAACTCGTCGTCGTTGCCGTCGGCGTTCGATGGCTTTTGGAAGCAGGGGAAACATCGAGCCTGAACCAGCAATACACCGTCGATGGATCGGCGATGGACCCTCGATAGCGACTCCGGAAGTTCCTGGGCGGGGTGGGCTGTCAGGCATCAATCGGCGGTGCATGGGCGATAGAGGGTCGATGCATCCCCCTGAGGCTATCCCTCCAAACGTTGCGCTTGACCTCCTCCTCCTCCTCCTCCTCCTCCTCCGCCTCCGCCTCCTCCTCCGCCTCCTCTTCCTCCTCCTCGTCCTCGTCCTCGTCCTCGTCCTCGTCCCCTTCCTCGTCCTCGTCCTCGTCCTCCTCCTCCTCCTTCTCCTTTCGGCGGCGTGCCTGGGGGGGAAGTTGAGGAGGCAGAACTTCTCAGAAGGCGGCGAAGCTTTACCGCCTTCTGACTCCCTACCAGACCACCCCAACCCAACCCGAAGATCCGAATCTGATCCGAATTTTAGGCTGGGGGGAGGGAGAGGGTTCCATGCGTGTTTTTGCAACGTTCCCCGGCCCCCCCATTGGAAATGGAGGGCAAGATGAAGCCGTCGGGTTGGGTTGGGGTGGTTTTGGGGGAGACAAAAAGGCACCGGGGTGCGTTCTGACCAGGATTTCGAGGCGAATCCAGCGGTGGCAACAAGGGCCTCCGAGAAGGCCCAAAAAGGGGGAAACGGGCGAAAGGTAGAGGTATGGGTATACCTTTTCCTCGTCTGAGGCTTGGTGGGCGGTGACCTTCTGAGAAGCACTCCCGCCTCATGCGAAGTCCATGTCCTATTATTACCATCATTATTATTAGTAGTATTATTATCAGTATTCGTATTATTCTGATTATAACTACTATTACCATTATACCAAGAATAGACATACTAAGTATTAGTAGTACTAGTATTATTACTTATGTTTCTTCTAAGTATGATCCTTCTTCTTCTTCTTCTTCTTCTTCTTCTTCTTCTTTTCCTGCTTCTCCACAGGCGCGCCCCCGCTCCTCGCGCCGTGGAGCCCTGCGGGCCCAGACCACCTCCCCGGGACCGCTTGCCCACCCCGCGCAGGTCTGGCACGGCCCCCTGGGTCTGGCAAGGGCCCCGAGAGGCCGAGCATGTCCAGAAAGAAGCCTTCCGCCATTTTTGGGGGAACAAAGAAAGACATAAACAAAAAAACTCGAAGGCCGAGCATGTCCAGAAGCCTTCCGCCATTTTTGGGGGAACGAAGAATCACATAAACAGAAAAACTCGAAGGCCGAGCATGTCCAGAAGCCTTCCGCCATTTTTGGGGGAACGAAGAATCACATAAACAGAAAAACTCGGAGGCCGAGCATGTCCAGAAGCCTTCCGCCATTTTTAGGGGAACGAAGAATGGCATAAACAGAACAACTCGGAGGTCCGCGCGGATTTCTCGGATCGGCGCTGGGGCCCCCCTGCGGCGCCTCCGGCGCCACCCCTGGCGCGCTCCGCGAGCCAGGGAGCGGGGTCCAGCGCGGATCCGAGAAATCCGCGCGGACCTCCGTCCGAGTTTTCATGTTTGTGTCATTGTTCGTTTCCCTCGGCAAGGGCCCCGAGAGGCCGAACGTGTCCAGAAGCCTTCCGCCATTCTGTTCCACGCCGCGGGACGGGGTCTGGGGTTATATCGGGCCTGTCCCCCTACAGGGGGATTTTCGACGAAAAATGAAAAATACCCCCCAGAATACCCCAAGAAGGCCAAAACATACTCAAAAAATAGTCCCCAGACTATTTTTGGACTATTGTTTGAGTATTTTTGGTGTAATTTTTTTTTTGTTCGTCGAGAATCCCCCTGTCGGGGGACAGGCCCGACTTAAGTCTGGGGGTCTGCGCACGCGCTCGCACGAGAGTATAGGGAGCCTCGGCTCCGGCGCTCCCCCGCGATTTCTGCGGGGGGGGGGGGGGGGGGGGTCTACTTCGCTCGGGGGCTCCCGAACGAAATGAGCCCCGCCCTCCCCCTCAGAAATCGAGGGGGGCAGGGGCAGGGCTCGCATGTGGCCCCCCATCGATGGCCCTCGCCGAGGAAAAAAAGAAGCACGCGGGCGAGCGGTGCCGAGGCCACCTCCTACGACAACGCGGGGCGCGCCGAGGCTGCACGGCAGCGGGGCCCGCCGCCGATCCGCGCGCGCCTCGCTCCGTGCCCGCGGCTCCTCGCGCCTCGCTCCGTCCGCCTCCTCCGTCGACGGCGCCCCCCGCCGGCGGCGCCTCCTCGGGCAGCACGCACCGGGCCCACAGGTAGACGTCCTGGGGGCAGCACCGAGGGCGGGGGAGTGGGCTTAAGTCGGGCCGGTCCCCCTACAAGGGGATTTTCGATGAAAAAATTCGCCGGCCCAACGGGCCAGAGGCGTGCTAAGATCTCCGGTAACTGCTAAATAATACTTCTACTTCGCGCGCGCGGGGCGGCCCCTGGGGGTCCCCGGACGAAAAGTACCCCGGGCGATCCCGGCAGTGTCGGATCAGAGATGGTTTTCCTCCTGGGCGCCGCCCCCGTGGCCCTCCAGAGAGCCCCAAGAAGGGCCACGAGGCCGCCAAGAGCCCTCCAAGATGGTTCAAGAGTGATCCGAGATGCCACACGATCGTTCCAAGACGCCCAAGATGGCCCCCAGACGCCCCAAGAGGCCTCCAAGAGCACTCCCCAGAGGGCCCCAAGAGGCAAAATTCCTTACTTTTCCTCAGGTTTTGGGCAGATTTTGGCGTGTCCATCTTTTCGGCCTCCCGACGCCCCAAGACGGCCCAAGAGGCCCCCAAGATCGCCCCAAGAGGGCCCAAGAAGCTCCCAAGAAGGCCCCAAGATGGCCCAAGAGGGCTCCAAGACGGCCCCAGAGGCATCCCAGACGGCCCAAGAGGGGCCCAAGAGGGCCCCAAGCGATGCCCCAAAGGGGGAACACAAAACAAAACTTCGAGCCCTCGGCCTTAAGAAGCCCCCAGGAGGCCTCAAGAGGCCCCTGAGAGGCCCCAAAAGCCCCCAAGAGGCCCTCAGCAGGCCCCCAAGCGACGCTGAAGAGGCCCCCCAGCGGCCCCAAGAGGCTCAGTCATGCGAAATGGGCCGGCGGAGTGAGCGAAGCGATTCAATAATCCCCGCCGAGACATAGTGCACACGTCCGAGCGATACCAAGGCCGAGGGGGGGAAGGGGCGCGAGAGGGAAGCAGGAGGAGGGGAAGAGGAGGGAGCAGGAGCACCGCGAGGAGCACGCCGGGGGGGGCGAGGAGCCCGGGAGGCCTCCCATAGAGGGTCTCGGCTGCCCCAACACGCGGCCTCCGAGAGGGCCCGATATAGCTCAAGAGGGTTCGTCATGCCATCCAACAGGCTTCCATGAAGCCGCAGCACCACCCCAAGGTGGCTCCAAGTGGCTCAGGGACGTCCCAGGCAAACCCTGGAGGGGCCCGCTGGCCATCGCTCGGACGTCCATTCCCTGTGTTTTTTCGGTTTCGTGCGTGGCTGTTTCGCCATATGATCAAGGATGTTCCTGGATGGTCCTCGCCCAAGGAAACACGCACACGTCCGAGCTATGCCAAGCCCGACGCCCGTCAGGGATGTCGAAACGTGAGAGGTTTTCCCTCGGGGTCTCTCGCCTCGTCGCTTCCCGTGGGCCCCTGCGGCCTCGGGATGCTTCCACGGTCGCCCCGAGACTTATGCTGCTCCCATCGTACTGAAGGACCACATCCACGAAGTAATTTCGAGCACCCGGAAAAGTGCCGAAAGAATGTCGAACAAGTGTCGAAACGGGGTCGGGCGAGCGTCTCCCAGGGCCCGACACGCGAAGACCCTCGAGTTTCGGTATGTTTGGTTTGTGCTCGGCATTCTTCCTGGTGGTCAAGGCTAAAGTAGGTTGGAACATCATAGCCCGAGACTCCTCGCCCCGACGCGGCGACGGGCCCAGATGCCACGCCTGCAGGCCAAAGAGGGCACAAAGAAAGCCCAAGAGGGCACAAGGCAGCCAAGACAGGCCCCCGACGGCCCAGCTATAATCGAGCTTGGGAGGTTCTCAAAATTTGTTTTGGGGCGCCCTGGGACACGCGAAAATACATACCATTTGCGCCCCGGAGACCATACCCTGCCATAGTCGCGCCCCCGGGGACAGAATCATGAAATGACGCAAGACACCCCGAAGCCACAATTCCTTGTGAACGATGCTCGGATCTCCGAGACAATATTCCCTAGCTGATTATACATTACGTGCGCCCCCGAAGCCACGAGCCTCTGGAAAGTACACGATCTTCGCGTCCCCGAAGTCATAAGTCCTCGCGGAATACGCAATATTCGCGCTTTCGAAATCACAATCCCTCACCATTGTAAAACAAAAAACCCGACGATGCAAGAGGCCTCCGAGACGGCCCAAGACTGCTCCAAAGCGCCCAAAATGGTCTTAGAACGGCCCAAGAGGCGCCCAAGAGGCCCTCAAGACCGCTCCAAGAGCACCCCCAAGAGGGGCCCAAGAGGCCAACCCCTGGAATTTGCCCTAGGTGTTTGATGGATTTGGGCAATTTCACATCTCTACTGACTCCCGTTCTGAGTTTCGACGCTGCTTCACGACGGCGCCCAGGCGTCACAACATAGCCCTTGCGTTCCCCATTCTCCGAAAAAAGAGGGCCCGCGGCAGGGGGCGAAACCTTATCGGATTTGAATGCCACCTAAACGAACACCGTTGTTCATGGCATCTGACAAAAGGGGCAACGTAAACAAGTACAATGTGAAGGCGACCCACTGCACCCACATGACAGCCTTCAACCATGGGAAATATTTGTGAGCTTTGGTGAATGCCGGGTGTACGATGAGCAGTGCACCTGTCGAGGGACTGAAGAGCTGAACGTTTGGATCCATCGCCGTGGCGTCCCGTCGCGACCCACGACGGTCTTGTCTGGGCCACAATGCTTGAACCGATGCATTGAACCTAATGGCTGCAAAGCCCTCGGCTCCCGATATGCGAGGGTCCCGTGGGTCAGGGGCCTCAGACCGGGCAAAAGCGCCCAGCATTAACAACTATCCAACGCCGGGATCTCACGGGAGGAGGGTGTGGGGTAGGCGGTGGCTCAAACACCAAACGCTTTGACATTTTCTGTGCGGGGCACCGTCGTTTTGTTGACGGTCCGCCCGCCCCCCTCTGAGGCGCAAAAACTAAGAATTACCCTGGCGACGTACCCAACGCCTGCGCAACGTGCGGCGGCAAGAACTTGGTATCCTTTTTGATAGCAAGACAAGGAAGTAAGTACTTCCGCGAACGGCATTCGGGAGGCAGGACACCGCTGAAGGGACAAGGGCTTGGTAGAGATGTATGGATTGATGTTTTGAGCGGGGGGAAGTAACACGGGGCGAAAACGAAGAGGAGACTGCGCACGGGGAGCTTGGAACTCCAGCGGGGCAAATAAAAGGAAATGGCAGCTGGAGAGGGGGAGTGACGACGAGAGGAAGGGAGAGGAAGGGGAGACACTACGTTTCGAGGCACGCCAGCAATCAGGCACAGTCAGTTCAATATCTGCATGAGGCCGAGCAGCTTTGCGAACAGCTGGGCACTTTTTTTCCTGGCACTCCTCAGCACGGGAGGTAAATGCGCGCAGGCGCGCCTGCGAGGTCCACCGGAGGTTCGCGAGAAAGGAACTGCAGCCCAAGGTCCCGAAACATCAGGAAATTCTCGACCAGAGAGATCAATACGTAGAGGCGCAATTGCCCACTATGCTGCCCACCCGGGCAGCCCTCGAAAGTGGCGACAAATTCGCAGATCGCACCCCCCCAAGGATGGCGTCGTCTACTTTGAATATGCGGCGAATGCCCACCCATGTTGTCCCCCCCAACAGCCTGCGAAACTTATGACAATTTCGCACATCGCACCCCCCCCGGAACGGCGAAGTCTAATCTGACTTTGCGGCAAGTGCCCGCGATGCTAGCCCCCCCACCAGCCCTCGAAAATGACAACATTTCCGCAGATCGCAGCCCCCCAGAAATGGCGAGGATATTGGTTGGAGTCTGCGACAAGTGCCCACTACGCTGGCCCCCCCAGCAACCCTCCAGAGACAGTGCACGAGAAAACAGAATGCAGCCGTGCAGAGAGGCTAGACAATCTCTGCAGCAGCTAACTCGAGAGCGACGGGTGTGCCAAGGCGCGAGCGCGAGGCTTGGCCCAGAGACCCGACGCATAGTGGCCCGTGCGCCAAAATGAGGCGTGGCCGCCATGCGAACCCTGCCACCGGCGCCTTCGGTGGAGCTCCCTATGGGGCCACGAACCGTGTGAGGGGTGCGCCGAAATGGGGAGGGGCCGCCATGCGAACCCTGCCACCGGGGCCTTCGGTGGAACTCCCTATGGGGCCACGAACCGTGTGAGGGGTGCATCAATAACGCGGGGCCGCCATGCGAACCCTGCCACTAGGGCATACGGTAAAGCTCCCTATGGGGCCACGAACCGTGTGAGGGGTGCGCCAAAATGCAGCGGGGCAGCCATGCGAACCCTGCCACTGGGGCGTTCGGTGGAGCTCCCTATGGGGCCACGAACCGTGTGAGCACCCTACGGGGCCACGAATCGTGTGAGAGGTGTGCCAAAACGCGGGGCCGCCATGCGAACCCTGCCACTTGGGCGTTCGGTGGAGCTCCCTATGGGGCCACGAACCGTGTGAGGGGTGCGCCGAAATGGGGCGGGGCCGCCATGCGAACCCTGCCACCGGGACCTTCGGTGGAACTCCCTATGGGGCCACGAACCGTGTGAGGGGTGCATCAATAACGCGGGGCCGCCATGCGAACCCTGCCACTAGGGCATTCGGTAAAACTCCCTATGGGGCCACGAACCGTGTGAGGGGTGCGCCAAAATGCAGCGGGGCAGCCATGCGAACCCTGCCACTGGGGCCTTCGGTGGAGCTCCCGGAGGGGCCACGAACCGTGTGAGCACCCTATGGGGCCACGAATCGTGTGAGAGGTGTGCCAAAACGCGGGGCCGCCATGCGAACCCTGCCACTTGGGCGTTCGGTGGGGCTCCCTATGGGGCCACGAACCGTGTGAGGGGTACGCCGAAATGGGGAGGGCCGCCATGCGAACCCTGCCACTGGGGCATTCGGTGGAACTCCCTATGGGGCCACGAACCGTGTGACGGGTGCATCAATAACGCGGGGCCGCCATGCGAACCCTGCCACTAGGGCATACGGTAAAGCGCCCTATGGGGCCACGAACCGTGTGAGGGGTGCGCCAAAATGCAGCGGGGCCGCCATGCGAACCCTGCCACTGGGGCGTTCGGTGGAACTCCCTATGGGGCCACGAACCGTGTGAGCACCCTATGGGGCCACGAACCGTGTGAGGGGTGTGCCAAAACGCGGGGCCGCCATGCGAACCCTGCCACTTGGGCGTTCGGTGGAGCTCCCTATGGGGCCACGAACCGTGTGACGGGTGCGCCGAAATGGAGCGGGGCCGCCATGCGAACCCTGCCACTGGGGCATTCGGTGGAGCTCCCTATGGGGCCACAAACCGTGTGAGGGGTACGCCAAAACGCGGGGGGGGGCCGCCATGCGATCCCTGCCACTGGAGCCCTCGGTGGAGCTCCCTATGGGGTCACGAAACGCTGTGCTTGGCGGGTGAAACGCAGGGAGGAAGGAGGAGAGGGAGGAGCGAGGAGAAGGAGGAGGAGGAGGAGGAGGAGGAGGAGGAGGTGGGAGGGAGGGAGGGACGCGGGGCGCTCTCTTCAAAACGAGGACCCAACACCACAGGATGGTTGGGAATCATTTGCGCGGCGGCCTTATTGAAGGACTGGGGCCGCAACAATAGGGGGTAACTAATCCTGTAATGTGGGGTCTTCGTTTTGAAGCAACAACGCCTCGCGTCTCCTCTTCTCCTCTCCTCCTCCCCCCTCCCTCCCCCCCTCCTCCTCCTCCCCCCTCCCCCCTCCTCCCCCCTCCTCTTCTCCTCCCCTACTCCTCCTCCCTCCTCCTTTCCTCCTCCCCCCTCCTCCCCTTCCTGGCATCTGCCCTCCGCATGTCTCTGCGCCGGCACACCCAGTACATCGCTTCGTGGCCCCATAGGAAGCTCCACCGAAGGCCCCAGCGGCAGGGTCCACATGGCGGCGCCGCCCCATTTCGGCGCACCCCTCACACGGTCTGTGGCCCCGTCCACATGGCGGCGCCGCCCCATATTGGCGCACCCCTCACACGGTCTATGGCCCCATGAGGGAGCTCCACTGAAGGCCCCAGTGGCAGGGTCCACATGGCGGCGCCGCTCCATTTTGGCGCACCCCTCACACGCTCCGTGGCCCCATAGGGAGCTCCATCAAAGGCCCTGGTGGTAGGGTCCACATGGCGGCGCCGCTCCATTGTGGCGCATCCCTCACACGGTTCGGGGCCCCATAGGGAGCTCCACCCTAGGGCCCCAGGGTCCACTTGGCGGCAACTGCGCCCATTTTGGCGCACCCCTCACACGGTCTGTGGCCCCATGAGGGAGCTCCACTGAAGGCCCCTGGCAGGGTCCAAATGGCGGCGCCGCCCCATTTTCACGCTCCCCTCACACGGCTCGTGGCCCCACCGGGAGCTCGACCGAAATCGGCACCACAACACGGTACTCACAACTCCACATGGGTGGGTCCTTTGCCAGGATGATTTTTGTTTCGCGGCACCCGCCGCGTACGTAATAACGACGATGAGGAGGAGGAGGAGGAGGAGGAGGAGGTTTTAGAACCAGCCCTGTTCCCCGCCGAGAGAAAAAGGGGGAGACCCCAACTAAAGATCTTCAGCGGTTGCCGAGGGTGCCGATCGCACTCTGGGGCCGGTGACCCCATGGCGGTTGCGAATCCAAGCATCTCCAGGCAGACCAAGAACCTCACGCGTCCTCGTCCTCCTCCTCGTCTTCCTCCTTGTCCTCCTCCTCGTCCTCCTCCTCGTCCTCCTCCTCGTCCTCCTCCTCCTCCTCCTCCTCCTCCTCCTCCTCCTCCCCCTTCTCCTCCTCAAAATTATTCCTCTGTCTTCTTCTTCTTCTTCTTCTCCTCCTCCTCCTCCTCCTCCTCCTCCTCCTCTTCCCCATCCTCCTCCACTCCACGTACTTCGCCCCTCTCCTAGTTGGAGAACCGAAGGACTCGACCCGGGCCCCGCGGACCTGCTTCTCGGCCCGAACCGTTTCGTGGACCGCCCTGGGGCCCAGCGAAGGCCCCCCAAGGCTGAAGACGGCCAACAACCGCGATCCGCCTCCTCCTCCTCCTCCTCCTCCTCCTCCTCCTCCTCCGCCTCCTCCTCCGCCTCCTCCTCCTCCTCGACCCTCTTACTCGATCGCACCCCTCTCCGCCCCTCGCCGGGGTTCCTTCGCTCCCAGCCCGGCCCTCGCCGCCACCGCGTCCAGGGCGCCGCGGAGAAGGTCGGCAACCTCGAGCAACGGGGCCCGGGCTGGGAGGTCGTTGGCACCATGAGGCGAGGACATTGCATCGTCCTCCTGCCTTTTCCTCCTCGGTCCTCCTCCTGTTCCGCCTCCTCGTCACAATTCCTTCTTTCCCTCCTCCCGTCCCTCCTCCCTTCCCTCCTCCTCCTCCTCCTCCTCCTCCTCTTCTTCTTATTCTTCTTCTTATTATTCTTATTATTCGTCTTCTTCTTATTATTATTCTTCTTATTCTTCTTCTTATTATTCTTATTCTTCTTATTATTCTTATTATTATTATTCTTATTCTTCGTCTTATTATTCTTATTCGTCTTCTTCTTATTCTTCTTATTCTTCTTCATATTCTTATTATTATTCTTCTTCTTCTTCTTATTCTTATTCGTCTTATTCGTCTTCTTCTTCGTATTCTTCTTATTCGTCTTATTCGTCTTCTTATTCTTCTTATTATTATTATTATTCTTCGTCTTCTTCGTCTTATTCTTATTTTGTTTCGTCTTCTTATTCGTATTCTCCATATTATTCTTCTTATTCTTATTATTATTCTTCTTATTAATATTCTCATTCTTATTAGTATTATTCTTCTTCTTCTTCTTCCTCTTCTTCCTCTTCTTCCTCTTCTTCCTCTTCTTCCTCCTCGTCCTCCTCCTCCTCCTCCTCCTCCTCCTCCTCCTCCTCCTCCTCCTCCTCCTCTTCGTCCTCCTCGGGTCGGAGAGAAGGGGGAGCCATCGACGAACAACATACGGTATAAAACAAACTTTCGGAATCTTGAGTGGACTTCTTGGATCGGCGCGGGGCCCCCTGGCGGTGCCTCTGGCGCCGCCCCTGGCGCGCTCTGCGCGCCAGGGAAGGGAGGTCCAGCGCCAATCCAGGAAATCAGAAGGGATGGGGAGGTCGTCGACAGGGCGGGGAGGACGCGCTCGCTGAAGCCCTCCCACCCTCCCGCCGCCATCCCCCTCCTCCCATCCCTGCCTCTGCCTTCCGCAAGTCCCCATCGCTCATCGTCATCATCATGGGCATTACCATCGCCATCGCCATCATCCACATCATCGTCACCATCAAGGTCACCACCTTGCCTCCGCGCTCCGCAGGTCCACCCTTTCGGTACACGCCTTACACGCCTCGTGGCCCCATGGGGAGCTCCACCGACGGCCCCCGTGGCAGCGCTCGCATTGCGCTACCGCACCCATTTCGGTAAACCCTTCACACGTTTCGTGGCCCAGCTCCACAGAGGGCTCCAGTGGCAGCGCTCGCTTGGTGCCTACGCGCCCATTTCGGCATACCCCTCACACGTTTCGTGACCCCATGGGGTGCTCCAACCAATTTTGGCACACCCCTCACACGCACCGTGGCCCCATAGGGAGCTCCAGCGAAGGCCCAGATGCCAGCGCTCGCATGGCACCCCCGCCCCATTTTGGCACACCCCTCACACGCATCGTGGCCCCATAGAAGGGGGCTCCACCGAAGGCCAAGATGCCAACGCTCGCATCGCATGGCGCCCCCGCACCCATTTTTGCACACCCCTCACATGGCCCGTGGCCCCATAAGAAGCTCCACCGAAGGCCCAAGTAGCAGGGTCCACATGTAGGCGCTGTCCCATTATGGCGCACCCCACACACGGTTCGGGGCCCCAGAAAAGGAGGGTCCACCGAAGGCCCAGATGCCAGCGCTCGCATGGCGCCAGCGCGCCCATTTGTGCACACCCCTCACACGCATCGTGGCCACATAGGGACGGCTCGCATGCGGCAGCCGCGCCCACTTTGGTACACCCGTTACACGTTTCGTGACCCCATACGGAGCTCCACCGAAGGCCCAGATGCCAGCGCTCGCATGCGGCCACCGCACCCATGTTGGCACACCCCTCTCACCGTTCGTGGCCCCATAGGGAGCTCCACCGCATGCGGCGCATACAACGACGGTGCCTACACCTGCATATGGTTGTGTCCTTCGCCAGGCAAATTTTTTGTTTGCCGATTTCGGCATCCAAGGTGCCATCGCCGGGAACCTGCACTGTCAGAAGACAGCTCAGGATGAAAAACCAGCCCTGCGCGACGGGTCAGGACTTCCGGGGACCGCATTTGTAAAAGTATCCTGCCGACGGACCCAATCATCAGATGGAGGGGACCGACCGGTCATTCCTTTTCCCTGGGTGCGTGGCTGAATAGAGACTTCGTGGTGGTGTTGTTGATGTTGTTGTTGATGTTGTTGTTGTCGTTGTTGTTGTTGACGATGTTGATGTTGGTTGTCGTCGTCGTCCGACCCGCGACCCACCCGTGACCCACCCCGCGACCCACCCCGCGACCCACGACGCAAGCCACCCCGCGACCCACCCCGCGACTCACCCGCGACCCAAACCGCGACCCACCCGCGACGCACCCCGCGACCCACCCGCGACCCACCCGCGACCCACCCGCGATCCACCCTGCAACCCACCCGCGACCCACCCAACGACCCATCCGCGATCCATCCGCAACCCACCCGCGACCCACCCCGCGACCCACCCTCAAGAGGAAAAACAACCCGGATCCGACAATTGACGTTTACTAAACGGCACTGGGCGTTTACTGATCAGCCCTGCCCTGTTCGATTCATCCCGTGTGTGCGTTTACTAAACGGCTTCGCTTGTCGGGGTGATTCTTATGGGGCGGATGTTCTGCCCTCTACACCCGCGACCCACCCGCGACTCAACAACGACCCACCCGCGACTCACCCGCGACCAACTTGCGACCCACCCGCGACCTACCCACATTGGTTTAACGAAAAAATCGGCGCCTGCGGCAGGCTCATTGTTTAATGTGTGAAACTTTGGCGCCTGCGGCGGGCTTCTCCGAAGTCTCGCAAACTGCCGACGTCCCCACCGCCCCCATCACTCTCATCCACACCTGCGGGGTGCTACGTAAACAATATTGAATACTGCGTGTGGCGCCACTTTCGGTGGAGCTCCCTGTGAGGCCACGAAACGTGTGCGGGGTACACCATAATGGGGCGCCGCCGCCGTGCGAACTCCGCAACTGAGGCCTTCGATGGAGCTCCCGACGGGGCCACGAACCGTGTGAGAGGTGCTCCAAAATGGGGGCGACGCCGCCATGTGGACCCTGTCACTGGGGCCTTCGGTGGAGCTCATAATGAAGCCACGAACTGTGTGAAGGGCGCGACCTAATGGGACAACGCCGCCGTGTGGACCCTGCCACTGGGGCCTTCTGTGGAGCTCCCGACGGGGCCACGAACCGTGTGAGGGGTGCGCCAAAATGGGGCGGCGCCGCCGTGTGGACCCTGCCACTGGGGCCTTCTGTGGAGCTCCCTACGGGGCCACGAACCGTGTGAGGGGTGCGCCAAAATAGGGCGGCGCCGCCATGTGGACCCTGTCACTGTCACTGGGGCCTTATGTGGAGCTCCCTCATGGGGCCACGAACCGTGTGAGGGGTGCGCCAACATGAGGCAGCGCCGCCATGCGGACCCTGCCGCTGGGGCGTTCGGTGGAGCTCCCCATGGGGCCGCGAACCACGTGAGGGGTGCGCCACAGTGGGGCGGCGCTGCCACGTGGACTCTGTCACTGGGGCCTTCGGTGGAGCTCAAAAGGAGGCCACGAACCGTGTGAGGGGTGCGCCAAAACGGGTTGGAGCCTCCGTCCCACGGAACGACGCTGTCGCCGTCGCGCTGGACGTGCTACTGCATCAGCAAGACTGGTGTTCCTGCTTCAGCGCTTGCCACTTTCAACCACACGAGATCGCCCTTTCGGGATCTGTGTCCTCTTCGACGATCGGCTCTGGGAATGGACGGGACGCAGCTCCATAAGAAGATGTGGGAGGCAGGGGGAAGATGTCAGATATAGCACGAGCACATCAAGACTGTCCTCATCCCTACTGCCCCTACTCATTCTTGCTTCTGCTCCTCATGCTACATCTGCGCCTCCTCCACGCCCTCTTGTAGCATGTTCTCCTCAACCGCTCCCTCGTCCGCCTCTCCTCCATTTTTGGGGGGAACAGTCGGGGGGGAACCAGCTGAGGGGGAAACATCGAGCTGGAATCGGTGATACAGCGAATATAGATCGGCGATAGCACCCCTACAACGAATCCGCATGCTCCTGGGAGGGGTGGGACTATTATAATTCGGCGGAGAGACCAGGGGGGAAGAAAGAAGGGGCGTGCCGTCTCAGAAGGCTCGGAAGCCTGGAGCGCTTCTGAAAAGCCCCAGCGCCTTCTGAGAAGGCCTTCTCCTTCTCACTTCCCCCCCTCGCTGGTCGCCGAACTGTGGGGCTCCTATCGGCGATCAGTGGGCGATTTGAGGTCGACGCATCCCCCACGGAGCCTGAGTATCCACCCTAGCGTTGCCCCTGACTTCTCTTCCCTTCCCTTCCATTCCCCGTCCTCCCTCCTCCGCCTCATCATCCTAGAGAATGGCCCAATATCGAGTCCGAAAACAAAAATAGTAACCGACATACATCGAATCGGCAGACATCGGCATGCAGATCGGAAGGACCCGAAACCGACGCCCAACGGCCCGGCTCCGGAGCCTGCACATGGAAACACAGCCGAAAGACTGAGTTCGGAGTCGAGGCGGATCGAGATCGAGCTCGAAATCCTCGAACACGAATCAGCTCGAATCGACAGAATCGAGACGGCTCCTGTCAGCCCACGCCCTGGAGCTCCTCCTCCCCCCCCGCTCGGCGGCCCCTCCTGCTCCCTCCTCCCTCCTCCTCTGCTCCTCCTCAAGCCCTGCCCTCCCTGCTCCTGCTCCCCCTCCTCCTCCTCCTCCTCCTCCTCCTCCTCCTCTTCCTCCTCCTCCTTTGCTCCTGCTCCCCTCTGCTCCTCCCTCCTCCCTCCTCACCCACCTGCTCCTGCTCCTGCTCCTGCTCCCTCCTCCCTCCTCCCTTCTCCTCCCTGCTCCTGCTCCCCTGCACCTCCCGCCTCCCCTACTCAAGGGGCCCAGGGACACAGAAATAGATAGACACAAATCCAAGGATTCCCAAAGTTTCAAATGTCCTGGATGTTCGTCTCCCCTCCAGCACTTTCCA